CATTACCACATATATATATATATATATATACCGTTCAAAAGCGCATAATTTGAATCAGTGTTCTCAATCTATTGATTTTAATAAGGATTTGACCACTGATTAGAATCATTTTATCAAATCACTGATTCGAATTGCTGAATTCGAACAACTGAACCAAATGACTTATATTCAAATCACTAAGCAGAATTACATGATTCGAATCACTGATACGAGTCCCTTGATTTAAATTAAGGGATTCCGATCAATCATTGGGATCAAGCGATTCTGATCAGTTATTCGAAGCAAATTGTTTTGATCAATAACTCCAAACAAGCTATTCAAATCACTGATTCTAAAGTTTCGAGTAATTCAGATCACTGATTCAAATCATGCGATTCGGATCAGTAGTTTGAATGAAGTGATTTAGATCAGTGATTTGAATCTTAATTCAAATCGTATGATTCGAATAACATGACTTACCGAATCAATCATGAATCACGTGTTTCGTTCAAAATCCAAAACATTATTCACCTTAGATTCTAACTACAGTTTTCTTACTTGGTAATATTTTTCTTTTTACCTAATGTGGACAGATAAACTAGGTATTAAAACGTTAGTATTCCTTCAAGCAAATAAATATATTTATCATATCTTTCGCATAATTATATTTTATAAGTTGCTGAATGCTACACATATTTTTAATTATGGTAATTTTTAAGAAAAACTGCAAAGGAAATTCATTTCCATTATGTTTGTTTTTTATGCGATTTTATTAAATTCTTTGAATGGAAAATCTCAAATCTTTAGTAACGATTGCGTAAAAATCCCTAAGGTTTCACAAAGTTTTCTTAACTATTCATGACATAGCATCACTGTTGAAATCAAAGTAACTGAAATTTAAGAAACAATAACTCATAATTTAAATTTATTCCTATAAAATCAACTGATTCGAATAAGTTGACAGTGTACATGAAGTTGACAGTTTACATTATATTGTAAATAAATTTACTAAAAACTTCTTTGTTAATATATAATTTTTACCAAGTACAAATCCATGACTGAAATTACCTGCAAAACAGGCAATTTGTGTTTCTTTCTGTCTCTCTCCCCCTTAAGTAAAAGCTAATGTTCTAAAATTATTAAAATTGTATAATTAAATATCAACCTTATTAATCGTAAACTTCTTTAAATTATTCTGTATCATATTACCTTGTGCACATTTATTTTTGGGCTCACCCTTGGTAACTAACAAATCAAACGCGTTTCAGTACTGCACAGTAAGAAAGCCTCATAAAACAAAATCCCTCTGTTTACTTTTTTACCTCAATTTGCGTTTCCGTTTTCATATTTTGTAATCTGGCAATCTGATAGCGAAAATAATTTAAATCATTCTTGAAAATTTTCCCGTTCATATAATTTCATATGAATTCCCTACTCGATTTGTAGAATTCGTTTCATGTTTTGTTCTGTTTTTTCTTTACGCTTTACTTTCCATTTTTTACGTGATATTTATTACTTAATGTGTTCGATTCTATTTTGCTTTAAAAAAAATTTTTCGTGCTCCTCACACTGTTGTATTGATATATTTTGCTTTAGTTATATTGATGCAATTTTAGAAAGCACTCCTTTTTGCTGATATAACCGTGTGAGCTGATGAAGAGGTTATATCCTTTTCTTCTGGATTTATTATTTTTTTAAAAGAATTTTTTTTCTTCTCTGCTTTCATTATTCAATAACTTTATAATATANTATATATATATATATATATATATACGTATATATATATGTAAAGAGAGAGAGAGAAAGAGAAGCTCATAAAAGGAATTTTCCCAGAAATTATTTTTTAATCAATAATTTTTTTTTAATAAACAGGAGCACTTGAGCGCTCTTGTTATGTTACAAGTAGCTAATTGTTCTTATTGATATCAAATAATTTTGTTGAAATCCGAAGATATCCAATAAGTATACACTGCAAAAAATAAATGTGAAATAATAGGAGAGTTATAAATGTTTTCTAACTTCATTAGACTGTTAAAAAACGTTGTAGTATAGAAAAAACGTTAAAAAACGTCTTTTGATATAGTATTGTAGAAAATGCAGTTTATTTAAACAATTAACTGTTTTCAAACAGAATATAATTGCCATAAAAAATTTACTGTATGCGTTGATTTCTGTTTGGTCTAACGAAAGACGTTATCTTAATATTGCATGTACGCCATTTTAAATGAAAATCAAGGATGCAAATCAACAATGCAAAGATACCTACAATTTAATACTTTATATTTAAGGTAAATGTTTTTATTTTTTAAATTACAATATTTTTTTCAAGTTGTGAAATATTTTTAATCAAGAAGCCTTTTATTACATTCGGAATAGTTACAGAAGTTGATAGTTTCAATTTGACATCTTATCGTTGTTTTCTACTCGATTGAGTTTATGATTCGCTTACACCAATTCTACTTTTTTTAATAAACTTTCGATTTGATATCGATAGTTTCGATTTGACTTCGATAGTTTCGATTTTACATCTTTGTCTTTAGATTATTATCAATATTTTCGATTACAGTTTTTTGTAATAAGAGTTCATTTCTTAATACATGTAAGGTCCCGTAGTGGACTGATCGTTAAGACACGGTTCCCAGCAGATCACCGAAGTCAAGCATCACTGGCTACGGTCAGTGTGCGGGTGGGTGACCACTTGGATCAGTCTGCGCAGGGACCGAGGGTGTGCGGTATTGGTCCTCGTTAAACTGTGCTACCGTAAAGTGCTCGACTTCGCGCGCAGGTCGTCGGGGTACCGAAGCGGGGGTGCCATCCTTTCCGCAGAGGATCAAAATTGCGATGGCATGTCTTCGGATCATCCTCCGGGATGTTTCCCAGACCGTCGCCAATAGCCCATTGTGCAGCTCTAGTGCGACGTAAAGTAACAAAAACAACAGCAACAACTTAATACATGTAAGAAAAATTTCCTAAGAAAATAATAATAATTATGATGACTTAAATTAACAAGCTCTGTACCCTACTTCCAATAAGTGATGTATAATAAACACGCTTCAATACGTTCTGTATGCAATTTTTGGTAACATGTATACTAATATTTTTATAATTAAGCATTCAATTAAAAACAGTTCTCTAGTTTTGATCAATTAGGAATT